CTTTTTGTGGCTTTTTTTTTTAAGTATTCAAGCTTAAGGGGAAATAATCCAGACTGAAATTTTCATAAATGAATACCTTATTCAAACAGCACAAAAATCGGAAGAAGAAATACATTGCACATTTTTTTGGCCGCTAAGCTTTGTCAAGCTAAGAGGCTAAGCAAATTGACCCTCCTGTGTCCCTGGCAACTCTTGCCACAGATAAATTCAACGAGAGCTAAAAGAGTGGGGTTCAATCACAATGTACTTTATCTTTTGACCTACAGGAAATGTTGGAGAGGACAGGTTACTCGCTAGATGTTACCACAGGACAGAGGAAATATGGTGGGCCACCCCCTAACTGGGAAGGGGATGCACCTGGTGCTGGATGTGAGGTGAGGGCAGGGGCTGGATTCTCAGAGTCTGTACATGGTTGTTAGAGGGTTGCCAAAACCTGTTTTCCCCCACACCCTGTGCTATTTGACTGCATGTTGCATATGAAGTAACGTCTTATTGAAAGAACACACTCATTTCCTGTTGTGTCATGTCTTGAAATTGGCCTCGTTAGTTGGACTTTGATAGTTGAACAGGTTCAGTTAACCTGTGCTGTTGTGTGTTCTCTTGGATTCAGTTAGTGACAAACTGCACTATTTTTGCTGTCACTGTTTCATTTCTTGCAGTTTTAGAACTCAGGAGACGTCCTACTTCAGGGTTACTGAATCCTGTTATTTTATTTTACAGTGTTTCTACCAAGTCAAAAGACGTAAATATGTTGTTTTTCTCCTCTTGTGCAAAGGTGTTCATTGGCAAAATCCCCAAGGATACTTTTGAAGATGTCTTGGTCCCCCTCATTGAGAAGTGCGGTAGGATTTACGATTTCAGGTTGATGATGGATCCTATGTCTGGTCTGAACAGAGGGTACGCATTTGCCACATTCTGCACCCAGGAGGGGGCGAAGGAGTGCGTGAAGCAGGTTTGCCAGCATTCGTTTGTCATCTTACAGGCTCAAGTGACAAAACTTTCTGTGAAACAAGCTTTACTTGATACAGATGTTCTCTTTTTCATGATGGCGATAATCCTAGTTTTGACCCCAGTGAACAAGAGAGATTGTTATTCAGAAAGGATTTGCTGGATAGACTACAGCATTTTGCAGAAACAGGGGTGTCTGAAGATTTGATTATGAAATACTTAAAAAAAAATTGTCACTACATTAGCATAAAGACCAACTTTTAAACACCTGTTAATTTAGCTGGATGGAGGAAGCTTAGGAACGAGCTGTAACATCTCAATTCCTAAGAGGCGGCTGTTCGTTGGTTCAGTCCCCAAGAACAAGACGAAGCAAGAAATCAAAGAAGAATTTGAGAAGGTGACCGGTAAGTACACCAGTAGACGCTATATTTCCCCCTCAAAGTTTATTTCAGTCCTTCATTTGAAGTAAAGCGTATCGTAAATAATATACTTATTGCTGCTGTGAGAAAGGGAAAGAAATTAAAATAATACAGAACTTCGTGACAGCAAATGAACACATAGTGTCTGCTCCAGCAAATATCTTGAAAATCAACTTTTATTTGATGAGAGCTTTGTCTTGGAGCTTTCAAGCTTTTCACTGAGAAGGTTGCAAGTTTAAGGTTTTGCGGAAGGACCATGCAAGGATTACTCATATGAATATGTGTGGTTCTGAAAACTTGCCATAACTCGACAAGATGTCTGTTCTTCATGCACTGTAAGTGGATTAACATGTTGTTAAGTTACAGGTTGTAGGATAATAGTTTGGATGTAGGGGAACATATCTCATATTTAACCATCTCTGACTTTTTCTGTCAGCTGGATTGGTGGATGTCATCATCTACCATGGGGAAGACAAAACAAAAAACCGTGGCTTTGCTTTCCTTGAGTATGACAGCCATCGCTCAGCAAGCCTTGCTCGCCGTCAGTTGATGAGTGGCAAGGTCCGTGTCTGGAACAACCTCACAGTCACAGTGGACTGGGCAGACCCTGTCTCAGAACCAGATGAAGAAACCATGTCCAAGGTGTGTTGAAAATGTTCTCTTAAGGGAAAAGCAGAGTAATTTCTCAAAGGGAAATTTGATTAAAAGGAAATCATATTAATGACTGTAACCAAGGCTTGTGGTTGTTTTGTCAGGTGAAAGTGGCTTATGTCCGCAACTTGGCTCCTGAAGCCACAGAAGAAGTCATCCAGGAACACTTTAAACAGTACGGTGAAATTGAGAAGGTCAAGAAGATGAAGGACTATTGTTTCATACACTTCACTGAGAGGGAATATGCCTTGAAGGTGAGCTCCTTGAAGCTAATGTACAATGTTCAGTGCTCCAGATGAGAACTTAATAGCTGCTCAACCGACCCCAACCAAGATTTGTTTTTCCTTTTTGAAATGAACTATTAGATTCATCCTCGTTTTGTTCTTCCCATTGAAAGGCTAAATGGGACAGTAACACTCGACATCGCTTTTCTTCATGAGATAAATATTAAAAACATGTTGCTGTGATTCTTTGTTCATTTTTCAGGCTATTGAAGAGACGAATGGGACAACATTCCATGGACTAGAGATTGAAGCCTCGCTTGCCAAACCACGCCAAGAGAATATAAAGAAAAAACAACGACAAATGAAACAACAGCAGGGCTACCAAGGAGGAAGGTCAGTGGAGGTCCCTTATCTCGCATTGGACCTAGTTGTAGAAATGAGCATTTACTTCAAAATGAGGTTTTCCTCGATAGAATGCTGTGAGATACACTGTACAGAGTTCTTGTAAAACTAACTGTCCAAAATTATCAGATTTTGTACTTGTCTGTGCAAATCAAGCTCTGCTAAAATAAGTTTTAAGATAAGTGGTTAAAGGTTAAAGGTCATGGTCAAGTGCATTGAGTATCCAGGGCTATTAGAGCCAAAACGGGAAGAATTTGTGCTTTTCCAAAGGATAAATTTTTTGTCTGGTGATATGGAAACAAGGACGCTAAATGTCCGGAGTCATGTTGAATGCAAGTCTTTTGTTTGAATGACCAGGTACTATGATGACTTCTATGGTCCAATGCGTGGTGGTCGTGGGCGTGGTGGCCTTCGTGGACGAGGTGGTTTTGACCGTGGTGAGAGAGGATACCGTGACTTTGGTTACGGTGGTGGTTATGACGAGGGCTACTATGGTGGCTACCCTGGTGGCTATGATGATCCTTTCAACTATGAAGGCTACTATGGCAGTGGGTATGATGGCTTTGGTTATGGTGGGCGTGGGCAAGGCATGGGACCACGTGGGCGTGGTGGTCCACGAGGTGGGCGTGGTGGCATGGGAGGACCGCGTGGAGGACCTGCCATTCGGGCTGGACCCCGTGGTGGCCGAGCTCGAGGGGGTCAACAGCAACAGCGAGGTGGACGTGGCGGCAGCGGCAACCGTGGTGGGCGTGGTGGAAATCGAGGCGGCAATGTGAGTGGCAAGAGGAAGTTTGAGGGGCAGCAACCTGGTGACACTAAGCGACGCAACACCCAGGGCGGCTGGGGTGTCCAACCCATTGCTCAGCAACCTCTCGGGGAATACTCGGCATCCTATGACTACAACCAGAGTTACGGCGACCAGTCCTGGTCACAAGATAACTACGGGTCCGGCTTCTAGACATGACCCTTCCATGCCTGACCCCTTCCATTTGGTGGAAATAATTGCCATTCTGTCTCCATCTGGAGGTTAATCAAGCCAAGGTGAATACAGAATCATCTTGCGTCACTATTGTGGCTTCCCTCAATATCATTTATCCATTACCCCATTCCCACCAAAAAGGAAACAAAAATCTCTTGTATATAGACCTTTCCAAATGTCATTTGGAATTCTAAGTTACCACTTGAATCACCGAACTATGACAAGTTGGAAATACATAACTGTTTAAAGCCATGTTTAGCCTACCATGACCTGCACACCTACGTAGTTTTTTGGTTGTCGATATTGAAGCTATTGTGAGACGGTTTTAATCATTTACATGGAAGAAAATGTTTTTTAGCTTTAGATCTAAATAATCGTGCTCTTTTTATATTTTAAAATGAAAGTCGTGTGGCACAGCTAAAATTACTAAAAAAATTGTTTCTGTAGATGTTGTAGATTGTTCATTCTCATAAATGTTTCATCATCAAGTATGTTGACAATTTTGTTCTGGTTTTGAAAAAGGCTTGATTTCAAGTGGGAACAAGAAGAAAATAAAAGCACTTCAAAACTAAGTTGCAGAATTCCAAATAGAAGAAATAAACCGAAACACATGCAAATTGTCTTATTCATTTGCTGGTCACCACGTTGGAAAGTAAAGACGTACCCGTGTGGTCATAGTACTCTCTCCCATTCCCCCTTGTAATTCAAAAGAACTTTTACTCCCTTCGTTTGGTGGTAAGTATGATAGTCTCAATTTTGTTTAGTAACCCAGAAGTGGTAAGTATGTTTGAAACTGGGAAATGCTTACTTTCTTAATTTGATGGCACATTTGTCAGAGTCGGTTGATTTTTGATTTAATTTCATCATGCATTGTGACAAAAAATAAAAGAAACCGTGTTCAAGTGAAACTCATTAATCCATTGTTTGGTTCGTACTTGATGCTGATCTATTTCCCAAGAACCTGAATGTTTCATCGCATGCTTATTTCATTTTATGTTGTTTATGCACTTGGCATGTATAGAAACCCTTGTTTGAAATCGCAGTTGGTTTTCATTGAGGTTAAACATCCTAATTTTTTTCCAAATGGTTGATTGTGCTTGAATTTACAAAGAACAGGCGTCGTTGAACGGACTGGTTTTTTTTGTTAAGTTGATTAAGGGGGAAAAGACATCGTATATAACACTTGACTCTCCATTGGTAAGCTCAGTCAGATGCTTCATCGCGTTTCCCCTCAAGAAAAAGCTCGGGAGCCTGCAGGCACGTGCGGCTATGTATATAAACATTACAAAACAGTGCATGGCTCCTTACCTAAAAACCATTCAACTCCAAATCTTCAAGCACTGTTCTAAGAATCGAGCTGTTGTTAATCTCTTTAGAGGATTAAGGGCAGTTTTTCAACATCAATGGTGTAGAAGTAGGTTGCATGGCAAAAGTTGATTCTAGACAGCGGCAAGGTGTTGCACGGTGCACGTTAACATCTAGTGGTCCATTGCGTTTCATCGTTCAATTTAGTCACAATTATATGTTTATTGATATACATGCACGCCCGCATTTTTGTATATCAGAATTGTCGCTGTATGCTGTAGTGTCTTTGTACTAATGGTATTTTCTTTTTCTCTTCTCTCCTTCACCCCTTCCCCTCATTCCAACAAAGTTATTCCAGATAAGAAAACTTAAGATTTCCTTAAAGGAATTTCTGAAAAGAAAGAAGGAATCTTGTTCAAAAGGTGCAATATTTTTTAACAATCTGCTGTCTTGTCAGTCATAAATTATGACTGTTTTTATATGTATCTGATTGCAGAAAAAAATCTGCAAGTTTGCATATGGTTTGTATTTGGTGTTATGATTTTTGGAGAATGAAGAAACGTGAAAAGTCCATGGTCATCCAAAAAGGAAAGTGTTAGCAGTCCTGACATGCAGTGAGGCAACTGATGCCACAGTACTTTCAAGAAATGTGATTTACTGGAAAGAGACGATACTTTTGAAGGAACCAGAGACTACATCAAAACACCAGAATTAATTTCCTGGTTGTTTTTTCATTTGCTGGGCTGAAATTCATCGATGGCCCAAGTACTGAAAATACAGAGCTGTCTGTATCATGAAAAAAGATATGAAGAAGCCAAGAAAGCCCTTGCCACTTAACAGGCTTGCGACCGACAGAGAGGATGGACTGACGGGGTGATGAGATGACATCTGAAGTCGGCAACTTTGAAGACGTCTTCTGGACTACTTTACCTCTTGAATATTTTGCACAATGCTTCTCCACTCAACCTTTGTGGCACAAATCCAAATTCTCTGTATGTTTACTCCGATGCTTTTAAAGACGTTCTGAGAGTTGGACTTGGCAAAGCAAGAAATGCAGTACCTGAAATGACAGCTTTGCCAGTTTTCTGGAGATGTGGAGAAGCTGAACAAAGTGTGATTCCAAACATGATCCTCTGAAGTGAAAGATTTGTGTTCCGTTTTGTGAGCATTTGCTGCCAGATCAGTTGAAACATTCACAAATGTTGAAAAACAGAAAAAAACGAGCTGGCTGAGAAGTATCCAGAAGGAATATAGTTATTGTCTCCAGCGAACTTGAACCGAACAAAACTGCAGATGACATTGTCCACAAGTTTCCTGTGGAATTGAAGCTTTTTTAAAAAAAAAATTAATCCACACCCAGTGGAAGTCTTTTTAATGATCTGGTCAGGCTGGTCGTGATTTTGTCTTTTGAGGGATGGGGGCAGCACCGTCGCCCGCTTCAGACATTAAGGGGGGCCACAGTATCAGCCAGGGGGACCACATCACAATTTTCATACTCGTGCTTTTCACTGATTGGGGCTGGTTTCCCGCTGGGAGGCTCCCTGCCCCCTTGGCGACGGACACGGGTGGGATGGGGGAAGGTCACTCTTCAGCTGTTACAGAAGCTGCCGCTTTCTGTATAGCAGTTGGCTTGTGAAAAGACTTGGAAAATACTGTAAACCATTTGACTGGGTGGGGCAGGAGTTTCTGAGAAATGGTTGGTACAAGAACCTTGCGTTGTCCTTTTTGGATGGGTAGGCCATGGATCGAGTGATGCGAATGGAGTTAAACATGCATGCACCTTTTCATTTACTGTATGTTTTATTATTTGCTTATTCCGAGTTTTAGCCAAGCGAAACATTTTAGCCGAATGATGGAGGTACAATGTACATGACTTCGAACATTGTTATTGGGGGCGGAGTACCGATGTGAAGAATGTGGTATTTGTGCCTGAAAGTTTCGATTTCTGTACTGAAAATTATAATGTGCTAAAATTCTTTGCGAGGCACCTCGAGTTCTTGAATCTGATCAATATCAAATGGGAAAGACCAAAATATCTTTTAAAGGCTGTACATAATGTGACTGCCTTTATATCTGAAAGGTAAGTTATGTACATGTAGTCGGAGTTGGGGGGGTGCGGGAGAAGGGAAAGTTGGAATTTTCAAGATGTACGTCCTTATGAGTTCAGCTTCAAACTATGCTGTCTTTGACCTCGCATTTGAGCTGCAGAATGTAAGTTGAAGTGAGGGTGTCGGAACATATGAAAAGATCACTGCTCGGTATTAGTTTTCACCAATAACAAGACGATTGTAAGAACAATGGCGCTCTTCGCTATTACTTATATCAATGAAAATGTACAGGGGTGAAATTAAGAAGTCGCCATTTTGGCTTGGTGCCTGTAAACGGACGTATTAAAGGCAGAAAAGGAGGTTCAGAAAACAAAAATAAAGGAACGAAAACTTTTATTAAATTTTTGAACTGAATGGAACAAAGGTAATGCCAGAACAATCAAAGTGCAGACTTTAATAAGCTAACGGGGAAGAGGATTCTAACCTGAATGAACCGCACTCAAAGGTTTCACAACCCCTGGTAAAGACAAAATCTTTTTTTCCTAATACCTCTCTACCTAATAACTAACAGGAACGCCAAAGCAGGCTTGTCACAATTGAGAATGAACTTTTGGGCCAAAGTTTGTTGAACCGGGAACGGGTTTTCCCCTATTGTGAACGTCTGTAGAATTGAATATGCATTTGGTAGCTTTTTACATGTACTTGAAAGTTGCTCTTTAAATTTAGCTATTGGTCACACTCTAACAGCAGCTTTAGTAGTGCATTTACGACTAAAATATCTCGCTTCTCAAACCTAAGCCTTACAAATAAAATATACAAATATGCGATTGAACAATTTTTATGACATCAATACAGTAATCGGAAGATATCACGAAAAAAAAAAGTCTTTAGCCTTTTCAAATGCATGTACGTGCGCCTCCAAGAGTTTGCAACGAGTTTGCCAATCACAACGCGCGAAATCTGTCGACGCTTTCTAAAAGCCCTTCGGGTCGACTGATTTCGTGCATCGTGATTGGCCAACGAGTTGCAAACTCTTAAAGGCGCACTGTTGTGAATCGCCCGTATTATGGACAGCCTCCAATGAATCCTTAAATTATCAGAACATAAAAATTCAACGACATACATGTATGCCAACTTTCATTTGAGGAAAACTCGCCCATTCAGTCCACCATACACCTTGCCTGTGTATATGTACGTCATACTACCAGTGGCGTATAAACTGGGAACCTTTTTCAGGAGGCACCCCCATTTTCTCAAAAGGGTGGGGGTCTTTATGGTTTGGTCAGACTTAAAGCGCTACCCACAGTTTTTGGACTAACAAAATATTTGTTCTCTGATTTCGTTGGGGGGAGGTTTGCACAATGGCTCCTGTTAATATTATTACGGCACTTTGTGCCGTGTCCGAATACACATATATTTGTTAGTTCCCGTACAATCTATCAGCTTGGTGACCAGCAAACACAGTTATGCCCAAATCTGAGCAGTACTGAGATTTCAAGAAAGACGCACACCAGTCTGACAGTTGATTTCAAAATTCTCGGCACGTTTTAAGCGGATGATTTTTTTTTACTCTAACACTGAATACACACTCTACACACTCTTAAACCTGTAAAACTACATTTCTAAACTACAAACTGAAGCTAGACTGCCAACATAATCTTACATCCTGAAAATTTTGCATTAAAAAGTAATCATAACTTGAATCATTTAGATTGGCAACCGACAAGGAATTTTATTTTGATTGGCCATTGTGTACATATTTTAACTGCATGTAGTAGACCTGTGGACCTAACTCATATCTCCTCCAAGGACTGAGTACGTTTGAGGGATCGAAGAGCTTTCTCTCTCAATTCTTTCTCCATTTTCTCGCCCTCACTGTCTGAATCCTAAAAAAAACAAAAACAAAATCTATGTAAGTTTGACTAGAAAAATTACACAAAGACGCCAAGGGTTCCAACTTAAAATTTACATGAACCGATCCCAATCATATTGAGTTGAACTCTAACACTCAAAGATCCGTCACAATCTAACGGGAGGATTTTGCAGGATTCAGCAAGGTACAATGGTTACAAAACCCAGCCAAGCTAATGATTCTTGAGGGACCTTAATGCCCACTTAATTTTGAAGTACAATGACCAATCAGTCTTATGCAGTTGGGTGGCTTTTTACAGATCCAGGAACGCTCATGACCAAAGCACCTGTAGAGTTACAAGTTCATAAGGCAACGGATAAAAGAAAGGGGGTTGGGTAAGATGACCTAGTAAGGGCTGGTAGAAACGAAAGTGCCAAAATTGTCCCCTATACATCTAAAATTATGTCCTGAAACGAACACAAATTTCGAAATTATGCCTGCTCTGACTAGATGCCTAAAATGATGACAGCTCATACAAAATGGTACAAGTGACCTAGGAGAAGGGAGCATGCACTAGTACTGGATTCAATAAAAGCTGTTCCACCAAACCTTCCAACCACCTGCCGAGAAAGGGTTCAAAGAGTTAATAGATCGCCCCCCCCCCACAAAAATAAAGTTGCCTACCTCAGGTGCAACATCTTGGTCCTTCTTCTGCTTCTTGTGTCTCTTGTGCTTCTTATGTTTCTTGTGTTTTTTATGTTTCTTCTTATCTTTCTTCTTTGTATCCTTGGTATCCGAGTCTGAACCCTGACAAATAAAACCCCAACTATTCTAATTATTTAAGTGGCTGGTGCAGGAATCTGTACAGTAAACTCCATGTTGTTGCTGTTCTCCCAAAGAATGAAGGTAAAATAAATTGGTGTTCGCTGTAACTAATTTGAACGTTCGATGTAATCAACATTTAGAATGACTACAATTCATTGCTGCATGCCTGATTAAGCCTTTCTGCAAATAAATGCTGAAATTAGGGAATTACACATATTTCAAATTTTGCAAATGGGCTGGGGTTAAACAGTTTGAGTGATTTTTTTGAATAGACTGTCACTTTTACCAAATCCAAGAAAACTTTTCCTATATCCCACCTTCGCAGAATCACTTCCGTCTAGGTTTGCCTTGGCTTTCACTGGAGTCGGTTCAGGGCTACCGGACGAGGATCGAGATCTTGATTTCTTCTTAGAAATTATCTGTTGTGTTGGACTTGGTGAGTAGCTGTGTTTCCTGGGGACTGGTGATGGAGATGTACTGCGCCTTGATGGAGGTTTACGCTTCTCTGAGTGTGACAATGACGCTTTCCTTTCAGGGGATGGCGTTCTATCATCAGATGATGAAGAACTTCTTTTATTGACTGCTTTCTTATCATTTGGGCTGTACCACCTTCCAGCTGGATGTGGTCTGGGGCTGTCTTTGTCCTGGTCTGGTGTTGGACTACGTTTTCGTGTATCCCGTGGAGGCCTTTTGTGCTGTTTCTCTGGTGTTGGGCTATGCCTCCGTTTGTCTGCGCGGGGGCTTCTTCGACGGCTCTCTGGGGTTCTGCTTCTGCGTCCATCTGGAGTGAGACTCTGTCTACGTTTTTCTGGAGTGGGGCTGCGTCTACGTTTTTCTGGAGTAGGGCTGCGTCTATGTTTCTCTGGAGTGGGGCTGCTCTTACGTTTCTCTGGAGTGGGGCTGCGTCGACGTTTCTCTGGAGTGGGGCTGCGCCTACGTTTCTCTGGCATAGGGCTGCGTCTACGTTTCTCAAGGGTAGGGGTGCGTCTATGCTTTTCTGGAGTGGGGCTGCGCCTACGTCTCTCTGGAGTGGGGCTGCGTCTACGCCTCTCTGGTGTTTGGCGGCTCTTTCGCTTTTCAGGGGTTGGACTTCTCTTACGTCTGTCTGAACTTTGCTTACGCCTGTCTGGAGTTGTACTTCTGTGGCGCCTGTCCCCTGGACTTCGTTTTCGTTTTTCAGGAGTGCGACTTCTTTTGCGCTTCTCAGCAGGGCTTTTAGCTCTCTTGGAGGGTCGCTCTGGGGAAGGACTTGGACCACGCTCAGGGGAACTGTCACTAGAAACTGATGGAGTACGATACTTGTCTCTAGTCTTTCGTGGTGGGGTATCTGCTGCTTTCCTCTTGCTCTTTGGAGAGGGTGAGGAACTGATTCGTTTGTTGGGAGAAGCTCTACTTTTGTCTGCAGAGGGCCTCCTACGTCTGTCTGATGGGCTTAAACTACGCCGAGTTCTAGACTTCTTTTTAGGGGTTGGGCTTCTTTGGTTTCTGCGCCTCTCTGGTGTGGGGCTTCGTCTTCGATAGGCTGGGGAAGGTGATCGGCGTCTCCGTGGAGGGGTGCGTCTACGGGGAGGTGTCAGGGATCTACGACGTCTGTAGGGACTTGGGGAACGAAATCGTCTGCGGGGTGGTGTTGGTGATCGATAACGACGAGATGGTCTGTAAGGTGATGGAGACCTGAGGAACAAATATGAAATTACTAAAATTAGTGCGTGTGACAGAAAGTGCAGAAATAGATACGGTAACATTTTTAAAATTCAGTCTATGACATACCTGAGCTTCAATTCAATCAAACATCCAAATATTTGGTCGTAACGACAGGCAGATTGTTGATGAACAAACCTCGTATGAAGTCAGTTACAATAACACACACAATTGTACATTATAATCACTATAATAGCTTCTCATGTATAGGGTTTTCTTCAGCCCCGATTTTGCAAGATTTAAGAGACAATACTTCTTGCCCTGTGCTTTTGAATTGTTGCAAGATTTCTGTTACTTTCATTTGAATCTGCTTGAAACATGCTTCCACAGTGCAGTATTTATCATTCAAACCAAAAGAAAATTCTCCCTTCCTTTTTATGAATTCTGCACTCGAATATTCAAATGTGGAAAATAATATTCAAATACATGTATGTGATAATCGATTGAATGTATATAGCCCTACAAGATTTTCTCGAAAAACTTAGTTTCAGTTAACATGACCGTAAATTGTAAATGTATGCTATTATGAAAACCATACCTTCTACGTCTGGGTGATATGCTACGGCGCCGTTTCCTTGGTGACCTTGAGTCGGAGCGGCTGCGTCTCCTACCTCCAGTTTTTGGTGGCTCCTTGTCACTGTCCGACTCGGAGGAGGAATCTGTGGAGGAGTGTCTTCTGTAATGACGCTGTGGGAATCGGTTCTTTTTGACTAGAGGCTTTGACTCCTGGGCCTTGCCAGGAGAGGCATCAAGTTTATCTTTCTGCACACAAAACAGAAAAGCAAAATTTAAGAAACGGAGGGCAAGGCAACTGTTTTCAGGAAGTAGAGATTTTATCATAAATTGAATCTTGTTTCCGATGAAACACTTAAAAATCATCGAGCATGACCGTGGATGATTTTTTTTACGTCTCTTATAGGGGGAGGTAGATTAAAATGTTTGCTCCAAATCTAAGGAAAAGGCCGAAAAGAGTCACTTACCCCCTTGGCTACTTCATCAGCTTTTTCTTTCTTTTTATCCTTTGCCTTAAAGTGTGATGGAGGTGGAGATGCAGATCTATCGCTTTCATTACCGCTCTGGGATTTGTCATCTTCACTTGATGAATCCTTCCCTGAAGACTTGACCTCAGGCTTTTTGACAGAAGGGGAAGGTGACTTCTCTTTTGTCTTTATGGATTTCTTCTTGGTTGGAGAGGGTGAACGGGAAGAATCAGAGGAGCTAGAGGAATCATATTCTGAGCTAGACGAATCTCGGCGAACACGACGTGATCTGTGGTTCACATCAAATCCAGTAATTTAGCATGAAGCAAGAACAGCTTCCAAATATGTGACTGTTCTCTATTTTAGTGCAGTTTATCAGAAAAAATATCTTTTTCGTTTTGTTAATGGATGGTTTTTTAATTACTATTACATACATGTACTGGTAAATGTTCGATTTGAAACATGTTCTTGGGTTGGTTTTAAACTGGACTTGGGGCTATATGAGCGGATTGTGATGGGCTAAGAAATGTGGTGTTTACAGTAAAAGCCGGTCACAAGCCAAAATATCAAACATAGCACATAATGGTCAAGTACATTCTTTGTATAATATACATGGTACTCCATGAGCTTTGTAATAACTATGTCTAATGAGCTTGCCTTTTGGGAGATGGGCTTCTCTTTGGAGAACGTCTTCGCTCTGCTCTTTTCCTTGGTGAGGGGCTGTGTCTCCTTGGTGATCTACTTCTCCTTCTTGGGGATGGACGTCGCCGCCGTGGTGACGGACTGCGTCGCCGTGGAGACCTAGATCTTCGCCTAGGAGAAGACCTTGATCTGTACCTTGGAGATGGGCTTCGCCTGCGTCTTGAGTAGTATGGTGATCTTGATCGCCGGCGAACTGGTGATCGACGACGTGGAGAGCGACGACGTGGGGATCGTGATCTTGATCTACGGGGACTGCGAGAATGGTGTCTTGTCTTCTTTCTCCTGATAGATCTACACATCAATTTTAATGTAATGATCAGTGAAAGCTCTACGTGCAGTCCTTTTGAAATGATTTCGGCAAACGTAAAGATGCTCCCATGTAAAAGAAAAGATATTTTAATAAAACACAATGACCGACTTTTGAAAACTTCCTTACATCAAAACAAAAGAGAAGAACCTTCCCAAAGGTTTTCCATTCTACGGTAATAAAACCAGTCCAATTAAAGTTAGTGTACCTGGAACGAGATCTCTTTTTGCGTTGATCTCTGTCCTTCGACCGAGATTGGCTCCTGCTCCTAGATCGTGAGCTATCACTGGATGTGGAGCTTGAAGATTCATATCGCCGCCTAGGCTTTTTCTTCACATCGTCTGCTTTCTTGGGAGCATCTTCATTGTCAGATTCCTTAGCTGCAGTTTTTCTGTAAAAATTGTAATTTTTTTGCAAATCATTTGCTTACAAATGTTCATAACCAAAATGTAATTAGCACTCTAAGGAAAATTAAGACTACGGCTTTTAAAAAATCTCTTGATTTAAAAACCTTCTTTATTAAGATTTTAAAATCTCCATATTAAACTCTAAAGTTTTCAGGAAAAATGCCCTCGATTTCACTGATGCACAACCTCTGGTTAAATCACTGTTGGTTGAAAATTCCCAAGAGAGAGGGATGCATCTGTCTTTACGATTCATAAATTCTCAAACAGGATAAAAGGAGAGACTTACTCTGACTTGATCACATCATCCTTTGGTGATGGGGAGGAAGGTTTGTCCTCAATATCAGGTTTGGTCTCAGGAGACTCCGACCCACTTCGTGATCCAGAAGCTGATCGAGATCGATGACTGTCCTTCCTCTGTGGTGACTTATGAGGTTCCCAATCCCATTTGCCAGGACGTGCATGAATCCTGAATATTGGATTGAAACGAGTATGACAAAATTCTCACTTAATGCACTGCTCCAAGTAAAATACTATAGTTATTTGGTTTTGGAAACTGGTATCTTGACAGCAATCAGAAGAAAAAGCAGTCTTTTTTTTCCTTTGTAAATGGATGAAGAAACATTTTTGGGCAAACACAGCATACCATGTCCTTTAAGCCTCCAACATCATACTACAAGCATCTGCAGTGCTCAAACTTATCAATCTTTAAGAGGAAATCTCTGTATTATCGTCTCCCCTTCACCATAGTGACATGTTCACAATCCATCTTCGTCTCCAACCATAAAAAATCTCTACAGATTTTTGGCGCCTTTATCAATAGATAACACATTCCCGTACATAAGTGGGAATACACGATGCACCCATTCTGCCATTACTTTTACTACCACTACCCAATGTGTCTACCACAGTATTCCAGAGGAAGTAACATAAATTTGCATACTTCTTGATAGCCTTTGCTAGACTTTACCGAGGCTCAAATGAATCTTATTTTGCAAATAATTCCCCCAAAAGTGTTAAACCAAAAAATCAGCAAAACCAACACCTGATTTTTGAAAAATTCGGAAATTCTGAAAACTCCAGAGGAATCTCACTCCTGCTGTTTTCTTACAGTAGTGGTGAGAAACATGAGACTGTTTATTATCTCACGCCAATATGCTTGATGCATCCAAGCCATCAATGATATTGCCCTTGACAGAAACCAGTCTGCAAGACTTAATACCAAATCTCTGTACACAACACTCCTTGTTCTTGCTGTAACATCCTCCTCCGTCCTCTGGCCAGCACTGAGTATATTTCTCAGGAATGCTTATCATGTTTTTGTTACCTACTCTAACAAACAGTTTACTTCAGAAATGAAGAATTTGTCTCTGAACGCATCTCTTTCTGGAATTCTGGTTCCAGTTCCTCAAAAAGTATTTGCCATGCTCCACCAACTAAACACTTACAGTAAGCTGTGTTTTTTTAACTAATCAAATATTTTTTTTTACTATCAGTGTCAAATCTCCACCAAATCAACTGCTTACTTCTTCTCAGGTGTCTTGGATCCATCCCTGGCTCGATCCCCTCCTCCGTTCACTCCTTCGTTGTCCCAACGACCTTCTCGATTCTTTACTTTCTGCTCCTTATCCCCATCTTCCTCTGCATCACTGCCATGGCGACTCCTTGACAACTCTTTCTCCTCTTTTTCCTGCAGCTGCTTCAGTCCTGTTTGGATGCGTTCTTGTTCCATCTAACATAAGAATTGAAAACCAATTGGATAAGAAAATGCACAACCAACACGCAGTACTAATTTTACAGCATTTGCCTTCCTCACGGAATGCTTAAAAATGAGTATAAACTGATCTCAAACTGCTTATGTTTTGATAATGCAATGAAATGTGAAGAAAAAAAAAGGTTTGTTTGTATGCCTTCCAATGCAAAAGGAAACTCACTTCAAACCTAAGGTTTTACATATGACGAGTTACAGAGATTTTACGAGCAAAAATGCAAGTTTGGACAGTGACAGACCTGTCTCTTTTTGATCTCCTCTTTCTTCTGTTCCAGGAAGGCAGCAGGAATTCCAGCAATGTTTTCTTGAGCACTGGTGAGAAGCTCCCACAGCTCCGACATAAACTTCATTGCATTCTTGGCATTCAAGAAGCCTGTCAAGTTGATCTGCATTGTCTTTGGGTTTGGATTCTGTTGGCAAGAAACCAATGAAAATTAGGAAACTAAATGGGCAGAATTTATTAGACTTATCCATTTTTCACGTACATGTAGTGGCTTCATTCAACTGTAAGTATTTTTGTGTTGGGTAAAATCCACTACAAAAAGCCAGCATGCTGTGGGGTGAAAACAGATTTCAGTAATTTTACCTTCATGTGAAGTATGGCAACCTTTGACAATTAAAATGCAACCGTGACTGATTTTGGTATTTTTCCCCAAAACAATAGAATTTAAACCAAGAGCAATTTCTTCAAAGCTTTAAATTTCTTTGTTTGTTAAAGTGGTTAGTTCAAACTGGTTTTGTTTTTGAACAAGCACCTTTTCCAGAAATATTTTAATTTTGAACATAACCACGGCTAAATGTATCTCTCAATTTGGGAAATAGATAACACAGCACCAAATGTGTTACATTCCAATTATAAAACCTACACGGTCTTTGATGCAATTTTTCATCAGCAAAACAAAGCTACCACATTTGATTGATCCTAATTTATTAAGTTTGCAAACGGTACATGCTTGGACCTGTCTGGTAAAATACCACTATGTGCTCTGCAATTGTACCTGTAAACAATGTTATTAAAAATAAATGCACCATTGTATAATAAATGTATGAAAGTAATGGAAAATTACAGGTCCTATTTAAATAGATTTGGAGCTTGTTCATACATCAAAAATGGTATTAAAGAGAGGACACAAAAATGTTTGCACTTCCCAAGAAGTTAAAAATAAAAACTAGTGATACTGATAAATACCAACCAGCAAAATTGATGTCTCATATGCCAGACTTTTACACACATTACTTCATACAAACCAACACTGTGTAATAGAATTATTGTTTATAAATCTCTTGACAAAGGAGTCAAAGTTGGTGGTACCGTCTGTCTTCCAAGGACCCTTAAGCCGGCATGTCACAACCTGCTGTTGTCCAACCGAGAAGTGACGCTGAATGAGAGCAATCAATGCATCGCATCTTCCTTGCCTGTTTCTTTATGTGAGCATCAGCTTATAGAGTTGGAAGAATTTATTACAAACATCTGAACGTGAGAGATGAGATGGGGGAGTACATTAAGAAGCCATTCAGAGCAGATGTTTGAGGACAAAATCACTTCATCCTTTGTCAAATACTATCACTAAGGTTTATAAGCATTTTCCTGGGATGTAATAAGTTACTGGTTGCTACAGTATCTTGACGCTCCAAACAGGGTTTCAGTGCTGGTAATACGGACGATTCACAATAGTGCGCCACCAAGAGTTTGCAACGCGTTGGCCAATCATAATGCGTGAAATTTATCGACCCTTTCCAAACGCGCATTGGGTTGACAGATTTCGTTGTAAACTCTTGGTGGCGCACTATTGTAAGACGGCCGTATTAACAGACTGTTCAGTAGTTTCTGGGAGAAAATAGAGCAACTGTCATTTTTTTTGGGGGGGGGGACATTCATTGTAAGCCCACTTTTTCCATTAGGTTTCCCTCTGGAATTACTGTATGCTAAACAAAATCATGATTACTTCCAAGATTTTTTGCTGCACCATGAAACCCTGCCTCTGATGTACTTTTTGAAAGGGCAAAAAACAAATTTATAGTGACAAAACTGTGACTTCAATGACAGAATGCTGCCTGTAAATTAAACTTCAGATATTGACATACAATATGCAGTCATTTCCTGCCAACCTTTGTGATCTGTTTGATCTTCGCAGAAATTGTTTTAACTCAAGACTCAACAACTGTTGAAGAAAAGGTACTGACGTTTCAAGTTCTAGGGTTCCACTATTAAAAATTTTAGGGAGCCACAATCTAGATCACATGGAAGCAAACCACATTCCTGGGAAGTTCTCCCTATACTGTAAAATGATAAATATACTCACAGATCTTCACCAGATGGGTTATTCTTTGATGAAGACCTTATCCATGTTGATAGAAGGGTTCAAAGACAGTTGTGGAGGAAAGCCAAGAATAAAACATCAGCTACTTACAAATTACGTCTTTTCAATGATCCGAGTATTTGAAAGTTGAATTTGATAATAATAATAAACACACTTGTACTATACTCACTCTTTTGTCGCATACTGGTGCAAAGCTATGAGTCGTTTGAGTTCACGTACAAGGAAAGAGTTTATCTCATTTACTTTTTTTTCATCCTGTTAATTGGAGATGGGCATTACTTACCTGTCAATATTTAGTGAGAATGGAAGACGAACTCTCTTTGAGATACTTACATGTACTCTTTGTACAATCATTTACACTTTTTACTGCCCTGGCTTGCATCAAGACCTGACTTTTTCCAAAGAGGTGGATTTGCGCCGGAGAGATGTTAATTAATTTTGGATATTTGCCCTGCCCTACGTGTATTGTAACACTGTATACTCAGTGTTTGCCCCGAAGGCTTGTGAAAAACAAGCACGAGTAAGCAGGAGGTTGAGGGTTCGAATCCCACCCGAGTATGCTTGTGGTTTTTTTCACAAGCCTTTGGGGGCAAACACTGAGTATAAAGTGTTACACTACACGTAGGGCAGGGCAAATATCCAAAACTAAGGACCTGACTTGTTTCAAACACCAGTCACTGCTAGAATGAAGGGATGAGTTCAATTCTAACAGTTCCCTATAATTCATGAGGATATTCCACTCAAGTGATCTCCAAATCATAGCCTACCTTGCTCACACATGCAGATTTTATTCAAGTCATTACTGGTTCCTTCACAGTGAGGCAAAGGCTGTATTAGTGAAACCTACCGTATGTCAATATGAAAATAAGAAGACTAAGCTTTACACCTGGACTGAAAAATACATCAAAACAAGTTTATTTCTAACACTCACCAACTCTTGCATCATTTGCTGGGCATCTGCAGTTTCTTATATGCTTGCAACTCATGGCAACTTTGATTTTGACAGACACTGGCCACTGATGATCCCATCAAATGACTGATGTCCAGTGAGCTTGATAAAGTCACAAAATTACTCACCTCGTACATGTACACAATATGGCTCTTTGGAGTTTCATGTTAACCTAAGCTGGGAATCCCCGCCGAGCGGAACAAGAGGGCTTTTTTTGGTACTCACTGCATAGGCACGCCATGCGGCACGCAAGTATATGCGCGCTTGATGTGAAACAAGAATCCGCTTGTAATCACCTGTCTTGCTTTTGCTGATTGAGAATGTACTTTAGCTCGGGGCGGATAAAGCAGTTATCGCTCAAGGCATAAATGTAAAAAAAAGTTGCATTTTTTTTATCAAAGTAGTATTCATTTACCTGCATCCTGACGACACTCCAAGATGCCAAGACTGCCATATACTAAGGTTGTTTGATTTAAATCAAATGATTTGAATCATTGATTTAAATCACTTTTTAAAAAATCTTAAAATTTATTATAAAATCATGTTAAAAAAACCTTAAATTCTTTTGGGTATTTGCAAGGAAGAAATGACTGATGTCTTTAAAACATTTCCACACAACCAGAATTGGGTCATTTTGTATATCTTTATCGTTACACTTATTCAACCTGTACATGTACAAGTGTATGCACATGTAGTCCACTCTTTATTTTGTATGACTTCATGTACATGTATGTGTATAGAATTCAATAGCCATTCCATTTGAATGCGTTTAGATAAAACAGAATTGCAAATTACCCATCTTTGGTGTTGGAACACCAAAGACGTGTACTTTGTAAAGTCCTTTGCGAAGTTACATTCATAAGGCATGTCATGCGTTAGCAAGTACAAGAGTTTTATCCCAATACCCTTTTGAAATGTGCATTGGGTTGACAGATTTCACGCATCGTGATTGACCAACACACTGAAAACTCTAGGAAGCGCACTATTGTGAATCGCCTGTATTGAAGCAGCAAAGACACTGATCTTTAATCGACTTGTTTTTTCCATTGAAATTTGCTTAAACGATTTATTCATACCAAGAGTTTGTGTGTATTTCATCATACAGGTCACTGGACATAGCAAACACTTATGATTTATTAGAAAGAAACAGTTCAACATGTGATACACTTAACCCCAGCACTCAACAATGGGTCCTATAATCACCGCATGGTATTTCATGTCTTGACATTCAAGATCGATTTTTAAAAAATCGATTTAAATAAAAAAGTCTGATTTAAATAAAAAACATGTGATTTAAATTCTTTTTTAAATCGTGATTTTTTTACCAACCTTGCCTCATACCCACCTGCAATAAAAAGCTGTTCTTACATTGTTTTCTACCTCTCAATGTCCATTCCAATCCTTCACTATCACCTAACTACAAACCTCTCAAGACTATGGTTTGCTTCCTACAAGTACATGCCTAGTTGTATATCTACCATGTTCAGTCTAATCTCTGAGGATGTCTTTACCTCTTCTTCCAGCTGATTATAGATGAACTCAATGAGGACATCGTCTTCCATCCCAAGCATCTCTGTGACTTTCTGAGTAATCCAAGGTTTGAGGATATCCATATTGATCTTGCTGGTGCTGACCTGCAAAACAGATGCAATAAACAGCCTTTGAGCAAACAAACATCAAAATCTACCAACCTTGGATTCTACGAACAATTTATGATTTATTACCATGGGGTCCATGTTTATTTTTGGAAACAAAGTTTAGAACAAAGGGGTATTTCAGTAATTTTTCAAAATGTATATTTATAGGGAGGTTAAGTTAGGAAAATAGATTATTAGTTAAAATGTCTGCAAACTTTTGCTTTGCTAACACTTTTCCTCCGGATTTTCAAGGCAGCTCAAAAAATGCAATAATAATGCAAATGCTCTAACACACAACATGATCTGACTAAATGGTAAAGGAAATTTACAGCCTGTTGTGGTTATTTTTCACTCTCTACTCAATTCCATGAAGGCTACCAAAGCTGTTAAACATGTTGCTGGACAGTGCAAGAAATGCAACAAGGAAAGGGTTCCTAATTCTAATATCAATGGAAAGTACAAATTTCTTCTGGGGAAACATTCCGTCTCACCTTCTTGTCCAGTATCGATGCAAACTTCATGTTCTTCATCAGTTTCTTCTGTTTATTAGCAAACCGATTGTCCTGGTCATAGCTGGTGCCCTGCAATTATGGTGCATATAGCCAGATAATATTTTACACAAAACAACACAGAGTTCATTTCCCAATTGGCCTACAGTCCGATCCTACACCATGAAATATATTACTTAAGCTAATTACAGACTGCTACCGAGCAACGTGTGGCATGGCAGGTTAAGAAGAAAAATCAAGTGCTACAAATAAGCTCTTTAGGGCATCAAAAGACTCACTGCGCATATTCAGTGCTATGCTGGTAAAAACAGGGAAAGAGATCCATGTGTGGACAACATTTGATGCCCCTGTGCACAGACCTATAAGACTTGTCTGAAAAACTTTGTTTTGTAAGTAAATGCTTTGGAATTTTCTTGGCAAAAATTTCACTTTTTAGGACAGGTTATCACTATCTGATAACTGTTATAATACATAAGGGAAAATTAGTGTTGTCTGTATTTGCAACTCTAGTCTCACTAAACACAGCAACAAAAAGGGGCCAGTTCATGGTCAAAAATATTCAACCATACATGCAAAATAAAACTCCTACATGTTTATGCTTGTTTGGGGTCTTCCAACCTTCACAAGCAGGGCCTCCCCCAAATGGCAATGACTCAGGGTGTTGACCCCCCCCCCTTTCTTGATTTGCACCTGTTAAATTGCCGACACTGACATAATTTTTTTCAATAACAATTAACATGTTCAACTTTTGCAAGAGAATTTAGCAAAACTGGTTTCAACATGTAAAATAAGGCTTAGGCCTAGGGGGCCTACTGAGAACCCCCCCTTTCAAAATTTCGTTGTTGAAAAGATCGATTTGCATGGCCATGGCATGGGTGCATGGGAAAAGCTTCAAAATCAGAATCGCCCCCTTAGCCTTGCTTTTAGGCTATCATGCAAATTGTAGTTGCTTATACTGGGGCGACTTGACACAATGTCATCACGGTCTTCCTTGCAACGCGACGGAGCAATGCCTCACAAATTACAGTTATCTTCGGCAAATATTCAACATACTCTTATGACCAGAAGTATCTTGGACATATCAAAGTTATTGATACATATGCATGGAGCATCAAATATCCCATTTAACGGCGCAAGATTTGATCAGAACACAGCAATCTTACCCGAAAAAATCCGGCGTCCGCCATGCTTGCGATCAATGGATTCAATGCGCATGCGCTGTGTATCAGTGAGGAATTAATCACATGTATTTTTACAGGCTAAATTATAGATAAAAATTATACTTGCAATTCTAAAACATTTGACATATATAAAAATTGCATAACCAGAAAAACGCCAAAGCAAGTCCCAGATTTACTGTTTTCATTATAATATTGGGCTTTGGGTTCAGTTTCCAGACTAGAGGGCGGCATTCAACGAGGAAATGAAAACAGGTGCACTGCGCGTGTCCAATACGCGGAAGTTTCGGAAAAAATTAATGTCCAAGTAATCGGCACCAGCCTTATGGAGGGATCGGCCGGGAGTGAAGCTTTTGAATTTACTGGCGTAAGCGTAACTAGGATAGAACAGGTGGCCGAGAGAAAAAGAGGCCACGTAGCGAAGAACGAGGTGCGTCATTTGCATAATGCCCAGGACGCGTAAATACGTACTGAACACTTTTACTACGGCTAGAACTGAAACAATCCTGGGCCTGTACAGTTTGGTTACGTTGTTGGTTCAGATTTACGCCTAAGTCAACTTTAGACACAGACCGTGAACTCATCCAGCTGATTTTTTTTGTTGCAGCTGCATCAATTGGGAGGTGTGACTAACTTGATTTGCATAGAGATACTGTCGGTGACAAATAATAATTATGATGGTTAAGGTTCAGAATCATATCAGTTTGATCACCATATGTTTGCTGTATGCATCCAGTCTTTTATTTCACTTGGTTGCTACTGTTGATGTTGTTGAACCATCTCATCTGGAAGACCTCAGTGACCCATCACCATCCTCCTGGCCAGGTCATTTGAAGCCCCTTGGTTCAGAAGCTGTTCGACTCCCCATCTCAGAAGTAAACAAGTTCCCCTCTCCAACCGAGTTTTTCCTGCAATATGTTTACCCTTCATTGCCAGTTGTTTTCAGGCGGGGAGCCAGGAGATCACCAGCATTTGAGCAATGGAGTGATGAATATTTGAAAAGTTTGCCTGAGTCTCAAGAAATGATTGATGTTGAAGTGAGGAAGATTGAGAATAGGAGCATGCCCGCAAGATGGATGCCTTTTGCCGAGTTCCTGGATCGATACAAAATCCATGATGAATATCTGGTCACAGGGGTGCCTGATTTTCTGAAGTGAGTTCAGTGACTGGAGATTTTGAAATATAAACTATTCTAGTTGGTAGACCCATTGAAATTACATTGTGACTTGTTTAAAAATAATTAGCTGTGGCAAATTAAGTTGGTTGAGTGATGTATCTAGTGAAAACTGAAATAAATTATGTAAATTTAATTATTTACTGATATTTATTTTTTTCTTTCATATTTTCAGGAAAGATGTTTTGGTTCCTCCTCCTTTACATTGTGATAACATCACAGCAAGTTTTCTTGACACAGTAAGCATTTGAAAAGACGGTAAAACTTATATTAAAACATTTTAGATACAGACATTTTTGTCAACTTAAATCATACATAATTTGCAGAGTTCAATTACCCTGCATTGATGATAATCAATAAATACTTTTTCCAGTATGTTGTACACAGTTATTTGGAATGTTACAGCTTTAGTTATAAAATTTTTCTTTTCTGTGTTTCACAACCTTCTGAACAGCTTTTTGAAACATGTTTCTTGATGCAGGTGATGTGGTTCAGCAGTGGTGGTACCAAATCTGTTTTGCATAATGATGATGTTGATAACATCAACTGTTTGTTTAGTGGTCAGAAAGAAATCCTGTTTATCAACTATACCAAATACAGACAACAGGTATGCTATATTGAACTCAAAGTTATTTGTTCAAATCCTTTATCTTTGTCACTAATTTGCCTCCAGACAAGAGGAAATGTGAAATGTCTACTGATTAATCCTTTCACAATAATGTACAATAGAAAAGTATAATTTGAAATCGAGAAGCCCCTTGGCCTATTGATTTTTCATAAAATTTAATGTTACCTTTCCCAACTTTTCTAAAATTTCAGGCAAAATTAATTTTTATGACAACGTACTTAAGTTTTATAACCAAGTTTCCAACCATTTGAAATGCATGACAAAATTAAGACTGTTGTCAGTACACAACATTGTTTTCTGCTGAAGTATAAAAATGAAATAATTTTATTTCCCTTCTCATTTTTAAAGTGAATGATTGAAAGCCATTAATTCTTCTTGCAGATTGTATTTGATCACCCTGAAGGTAGCTACTCTAGTGTTGATGTTGATCGAGTTGACTTCAACAAATATCCAGAATTCAGGGATATTGAGTTCTTTGAGGCAAAATTGGAAGCAGGCGATTGCATTTACATTCCATATAAATGGTAAAAAGTGCTCTTTTATTGTAAAGAATGTCAGGTTTTTGTACTTTATTAGAATTCATAAGGGAAATTTATACATGTACCTGTAAAATTCATGGTTATGAATGATGCAGGTGAATATTATTAAAGGTACAAGACTGAAGAAAACCCTCACTTTGTCCTGTATCTGGCAAGTTAAACTCAGATGTAGAGATTCAACTTTCCACTAGTCTGTAGGCCATGTAGTGCGTTTGCTATGTAGCAATGGCCAAAATGGAAAACAATGAAACCAAATCATTTCCATTTTTACAATTTCTCTAAAATGTGTTCACTTTGACATTTTTGAACCTGTTTTCAAGTTCAGTGTCTGGAACAATCCAGTTTTATAAATACTTCTCTCCTTCATTGATTTCAGGTATCATCAGGTGAACTCTATCAATCGTAACATTGCAGTCAATATCTGGTGGAATCACAAAGCTAACATTATTCCAACCTCTCAGACTTGTGGCGCCCCAGATCCAATGCTTTCATTGGCAGATGTCAAGTTCCTTTACCATGAATTGATGGACAGTGAAGAAGAGGAGATCACACACCCAGAACTTCTTTTCATTGAAAGTCCGGTGTAAGTTTAGAAATCAGAGCTATCATAAATTGTGCTATTTTTGTTTTTGTGTCATAGCAGTTGGAAATCCTCATAACAAATAAGAGGTTCATTTTAGTTGTACCTTTGTCATCTGTTCATTGGCAGCCAGAGCTTGACAACATTTATGGAAGAAGCAGGAGAGGAAATTCTGGTAGAGAGTCAGTTTCTGGAACTACTCGTTGAGGTAAGAAGTTGGAATTACACAAAACAGATGTGAAGTGTCTTACTGCAAGCTCAGTTTTCCTTTGTAGATACATGCATAAAAGCTGAAAAAATTTTGTTTTCCTTCATTGAAAAGCTCATTTTCAGACAGGCATGTTTTCCCTAATCAATAATTTCGCTGTTTATTCGATTTTGATAATAACGTTTGTTTATTCTTGCAGAGGCTGCCAATGTTGCAAGGGGGGATTTGGAACGAGGAGGCTTTACATATCGGACATAAGGTATTGAAAGCTGGATTGATTCTTGGCTGACTTCTTATGTTGGTGTAGTGATGAATGGGGCCAAGGGAAGGA